CAGGCCAGGAAACATGGGAGCCACCAAGACCTGGAAGAGGCATGAGACCAACATCTCCCCAGAACCTTCGGAGGGGCAGGACTCTGCCAACACCTTGACTTTGGACTTCTGGCCTCCACCCCTGTGAGAGAATGAATTTCTGTTGTTTAAGGCACCAAGTTTGTGGTCATCTGTTATGACAGCCCCAGGAAATTAATACACTCCCTTTCAAAACTACTGTAGAGATGCAGGCCTTGCCTCCCAGTCCTGCTGGGTCTGAGGTGACCCTTCTATACTTAGATGCCCCTGCTTCCCCGGCCAGAGCTCACTGGACCAAGGATGGACAGGTGGCCCAGGCTGGGCTGGTCAGTGTCACAAGCATTGGGAAGTGTCGGTGAGGCCACAGGGCACTAGTGGGGAAAAGTCGTACAGGCTCAGAGCTGGGCTGCATGGGGTTGTGCGGGAGAAGGAAGCTGAGAGAGAGGAGCAGGACGGACACTGACCACAGAGGAGACCAGAGGTCCTGACGACTCTCTGGCTCCCACAGAGAAAGTCCTGCTCTTTGCTTCCAAAGGTTCCCTAGTATTTCTCCCATATCCATCCTCTCTCTGCCCTACTTTTCTTCGACCTGGCTTTTCCTTGAGAAGGCTGCTTTTCCTTGCAGCCAAATCAACCCTGATCTAACAGGTGAGCTCCAGTGTCACCTCTGTGAAGTCTTCCCTGACTCCACCATGTGGAGAAAGAGGCCTAGACTCATGGCTCCTTCAGCTCTGTGTCCCCGTCAAGATTCATTGTCATCATTCGTGATGCGTGCATGCCATCCTCCCTGGAGACTGGGCTCCTCTAGCCATGGAATGATCTTATTGTATGCATCCCAATTTCCCAATTACCCAATGGGGCACAGTGGCTGGTACCACAACGGATAAATAGATGAACAAAGGAATGAATGCTACTCAGCTCTGCCCTTGAACTTGGAGTCAGGTGGGGAGTGAGTCACTCATTGGGGGCATGTGATGGGGCATGCATGGGAGTGGGAGTGGGAGCAAGAAGAGCGATGGTCAGGGAGGGGGGAGGTCAGTGCTGGGGGATGCAAGGGGACGGAGACAGTGTGGAAGCAGTGGCATGGGTGATGATGACTGCTGGAACAGGCAGAAGGCAGTGCGGAGCAGGGAGGACTTCTGACTGGGGGGGTGCAGGGATTTGGGAGGAGGGAGAGGAAACACCTGCCCCTGGAGGAGGGCAGAGAGGGCCTGACTTGAACAGAAGTTCCAAGATGGGAGCTGTGATGGGGGGCATCAGTGGGGCCTGTCCTGGGGCCTCTGGCAACTCATCCACTTAGCTGACATCCAGCCAGGCTCTGTGCCCAGTGCCCACTCCACAGCGATGACAGATAGCAGAATTCAAACACCAGACTGGAGCGCTTAAGAGAACAAGACTGTATCTGCTGTTACAAGGACCAAGACATAATCAGCACATACCCAAAGCATGTGTGGAGCACTTTATAATTTCTAAAGTGCTTTCTCCATATGCATGATTACCAAGTCACATGGCAGAGCGGAAAAGTGGTGACTGTTGCTGCGGGAGCCCGAGTTCAGGTCTTGCGTCCACCATTTGGTGGCTGTACAACCTTGAGCTCATGATGACCAACTTGAGCTTCAATTTCCTCATCTGTAGAATGGTACCAATGGCTAGTGTTTATTGAACATCTAATGTGTTGAACACCTGTTGTAAGTGCTTTTATATGTATCCGCTATCTGGACCATCAAAATGACCCGATAAAATAGGTACTATCCTCACCCCCTTTTGCAGGTGTGGACACCGAGGCTCTAAGAGGCTAAGTAGCTTGCTTGAGTCACACAACTGCTCAGCTGAAAAGAGGAGATTTGAACCCCTGTATTCTGCTCCCAGAATCCATGTTCTCAGCTCACTGTAAAGACCACAGCCCTACCTCCAAGGCTTTGGGGGAATCAGATTAATAAACACACAAGTGGTTAGAGGTTAGAGGTAAATCCTGGCCATGGCTATTCTTTCATCCCGTGCTTGTGGTGGCGTCAGACGCTTTGGGTGCTTTAGCAGATACTGCAGAACCCTGGCACCACTGATGGCCCAGGCCAGTGGTCACTCACAGCAGGGACAGTGCCCCTCTGCGGGGAGAAGCCAGCACTTCTGGCCTGCTCACACGCCAGGAGCACCCCTCCAGCGACAGACATGTGAACTGGTTAATAAGCACCCCGTGGTGTCACTTCCCAAGTCAACGACTGGCATGGCGGTCCCTCCCTCGGGGTCTGTTTGGAAGCTAAGAAGTGGATCAGTTTGGAGAGAGAGGAAAAGACGAGATATTACCTGTTGAGCCTTCAGATTTTTCTGGATGCTGTCAGGAGAAGAGCTAGAGAGAAGAGAGGCACAGAGGAGCCCTCAGACAGAAGGGGAAACTCCCAGGAACGGGACAGAGGGACGGGCACCCCCCCATGTGGTTCCTCAAGCAGATCAGCCCCTCAGCCCACTTTTCACTTGACCCTCCAGAAAGACTGGCCATCAGGGGATTCTGGCAAGAGCCCCCTTGCCTCTGGAGGAGACTGCAGGGGCATTCCTTGTAACTCTGGGACATGAGCATAGAATGGAATAGAATGCGCACAAATAAGCTCCCATTGTTGAAGTAAACTGAGGCCAGGTTTCATGAGGCTGTTTTCTTTTCTTCCCACTGCCCACATGCCTCCGCTCAAAGACCATGCTTGTTTGCTTACTTATTTAATCCCAAACCCTCTGCACCTTCAAAGGGCCCCTTTGTGTCCAGGATGAAGTGGAGCATTTCTGCCTTGTGGACACGGTTTTCCAAACGAGCTTCCAAACACAGAAGAGCCCCGATTACTGACAGTAAGATAGCACTGGGATTTGGGCTGGTGGATTAAGTGAACAGGAGGCAAGAAGAAAAACAAGAGACAGGATGCATTTTCAGCAGGTTCCTCCAGACGAACAGTTTGTAATTTCATTGAAAAGGATGCTCAGGAGGAAAGAGACCAAAGAACATGGTGGGAAAAAAGCAAATTCCTGGCTCAGCTGTGTGACTTCTTCCCTTGACAAGATGGGCACGAGGGAACAGGGACAGGACACATTGAAAAGGGCTGAGACCAGGCCAGCACAATGGGGAAGGGGACTCAGTCACCTCCCAGGGAGGGCGGCTTGAGTCACAGCCCCTGGGCTGGGTCCAAAAGGTTCCCTGCCCATTTTATTCATCACTGAAGCCACAGAAACACTGGGAACAGAGGGTGTCTGGCTGGAACTGCCCGGCCAGGTCCACATGGGGAGAAGCTTTCAGAGAACACGGGTGGAGTGAAAAATCAGCACAAGAATTAAAAAAAACCAAAAAACCAAAAAAACCCCCTGGCCATTAAAGAATATATTATTCAGAACTGATCCAAGAAAATTCAGGGGGGATATTTGCACTGAGATGCACCCTGTTCCCCAGTGGTTCAGGTTCCTCTAATAAGAGGCAGGATTACCTAGTGGGCAAGAGCTTGGCCGAGGAGCCAAACCGCCTGGGAAGGAATCCCCCAGCTATGCCACCGACATGCTGGGTAACTTTGGGCAAATGCTTGACCTTTCTGTGTCCTTCGGTTTCCTGATCTGCAAATCGGGGCTGATGCTAATAAATGTACTTACTTCAGAGAGTTGTCTGTGAGGATTCAATGAGTAAATATGTCTAAAGCACCTCGAGAAGGATCTGGCATATAATAAGTAACCAACACGTGTTAGCTGTAATGACCACACAGTTTCAATAGACAATAGCTCCTGGGCGCTACAATATTCTCACAGGTGCAACAGGATAAAAGTTAAAAAGGCAAAGCAGCATGAAAGCAGGTCAGGCCAAAGAAGGATTCCAGAAGCTAGGAGACCGTCCTGCCCGGAACAAAGCTGCGGATAGCCTTACCTGCGCGCAACTCCCAAGGAGCACAGACGGCTGATCACTGTGCCAGCCACAGGTGCAATGAGAGCTCTGAGGTCCCCCTGGCATTTCCAAGTTCTCGCGGTGGCAGGACGGCCCAGTTAGACTGCAGATCGGAAGTGTGGCTGAGACTGGGGCTCTGTCCCCGCAGAGGAAATGGCACAGCCCCTCCTCGCACTGAAAAGCAGCTCTGCCCTCTGGCTGTGCCTGCCGCTGCTGTGGTTGGTGACCGGGGCCCGGCCCCCCGGGGCAGCGGAGGGCCAGAATGCAGGCACGGTCCACAACTGGAGGCCAGCAGCACTGTGGTCCCTCTGTGCGGCAGTGACATGTCTCGGACCCGCTTGCCCTTCATAGCAGAACCCCATCTCACATCCTTCGCTCAAGATAAAGGCCCCAGATTTTTCCATGCAGAGGTATCTTCAGGGGCCATGAACGGCCATTTCAGACAGACCCATGCACCCCAGCTAAACCCACAGTTCTGTGCAAACATTCCTCATGCGCCCCCGGAACCTCAATTTTTTTCAGTTAGACTGCTGCAGCTTGAGAATGAAGCTAGAATTAAGACAAAGACAAAGGGCCACTATCAGTCATTATTTCTGAAGTAACAAGCAACTAATTGGGACTTACTGTTATTAAAACCTATAGCGCAGGCAGTAATTGAACTGTGGCTAACGAGGATTTCGGCACCAGGCTCTGCGGCCACCACTCCATTCCCCTGTTTCCGGGCGGAGGGGTCTGTTGTTAGAGGAAATGAATGGCCTCTTCATAGTCCTCCAAGAGATCTTAGTCATTTCAGAGGTTTCTGCCGGGGAAGACGGTATGGCCGGGCAGCGGGGCGAGACAAGGGACAAGTGTCAGAAGCCTAGGAGCACATGGAGCTTTCTGGATGGGCTGCCATCCCTCTCAGGATGATGACATCATGCCTTTGGGAAATGGCTGCAGGGTACTGTCGAGTCAGTGGGAAAAGAGCTGAATTGGCTCCTTTATAAATAGATGTCATGAGCCCCTCTAACCTACCAGGAGCTCCAAGAGATGCATTTATACACATCAATTCATTTACTCCTCTTAACTGCCTTAGGAAGGAGGTGCCATCAGGAACTGCATCACAGAGGAGCGCTCTTGGCTCAGAGAGGTGATGTCACCCGTGGGAACTCACCTGGCCACCACACAGAGGGAAGCCAAGGTCGGAACCCAGAAGAAAGGGGAACATTCTTGCAAGCAACATGGTGATGTGAGCGGGTGTAGAGTCAGCGGGGACAGCTGGGTGTGACCATCTTCTAGCTGCCTGGTGAGCTTGTCAACTTACCCAAACATTCCATGCCTTAGTTTCTTCGTCTGGGAAGTGGGGATAATCATGCCTGTCTAGCGGGTTTGCAGTACAGACTACACAACAAACTGCATAGAAGGCACTCAGCACAGTGTCAGTGCGTGACGGATGTTCAGTAAATGCCGGCTGTTATTATAGGTGCTGTTCCAGTGCTCTCGGGAGCAGCGCTGAGTGTTGGATGAAACTCATCATCTGAGCAGAGCAGGGCTTTTGCGATAGTGGAAGCCATGGAGGTCTTCGTAGAGTGTCTGTCTGCCTCTGTCTCTTGGGAAGGGGGCAAACAAACCCAGAGGGCTGGCTCTGCTGAGGCCACTGCCCTGGCGTTCGGGGCAGCGGGAAGCTGGCCAAGCTCCCAGACAGCCTGTCTCGGGCCGGGAGCACAGAGCCGTTGCCTCACCAGCTTGTAATGAGCTGCGTCTCCATCCTGATTAGGGGAACAATCTTCACTCAGAAAGATTCAGGGGAAGGAAGTGACAGCGTCGTGGGGACAGGGCATAACCTCGCCTCCCAAGGAGGGGCTGGCTTCTGGGGAGCTGGTGACTTGAAGGTCACAGCCCAAGATGGTGCCCATCTCCAGGGAGGAGGCTGTGCAGACCCCACCGGGGCAAGTCTGGGTCAGAGTACGAGACACACCAGGGCCAGCCCAAGCCTCGGTCTGCAAGCTGGGGAGGCAGCTGCTCGCAGGCTCTGGTTTGCCAGGAAGGCAAGCAAGGAAACCAACATTCTCTGGGCACCTTCTGGGCACCAGGCCCGATGCCAGCCTTATGACATCATCACTGCCATCCACACCGTCCTATGAAAAAGAACATTTGGGCACCGTCGTTTCCAAAACTGTGGATTGCAGCCTATTACTGGGTTACAGAAACAGTTTAGTGGGTGACAAATAGCATTTTAAAAATAACATGATAAAAAAAAAACAGAAAAAAAAAAAACCAAAACCAGAAAACTTCAGAGTGCACTGCACAGAGTACGGATTAGTATTGTCTTGTGGGAGTTGTGGAAGCTGCATTTCTTTAGTGGGAGCGTGTTTGGGAACTGTGTTGTCCAGGGGATAGAAATCATGCCCATTTCATAGAACTATTGTAGGGATGGAGTGAGTTCAATCCTGTAAGTGGTTAAGGCAGTGGAGCCCGGTTTGCCAGCACCACCCATGTCCCCTTGGAGACAGTCCAGTTTCCCCGCATGCCCCATGACATCCCGAGTCTCTCTCCTGAGGGTGTTCTCTGGCTGCGGGAATACACTTAGCCCAAGCACAGGGCAGGTAAACCGTGGCCAAGTGAATACCCCAGGAGCAACTCTCAGCCTCTGAGGACTGGGGAGCTGGTGGATTAACACTTCTTCCATGCAATGATTCTGAGAATCTCCCTCCCAGTCTCTCAGAGGGTGCCCAGTGGGGCTGAGCTTCAGTGGCCCACAGAAGCACTCCCTTCCTCGTCTCCCTGCCCCTCTCTCCCTCTGCTTCCTGGGGCCCCCTCCCAAATCAACTTCTTACATCTATATCCTTGTCTGGTGTCTAATCTTATTTTGGATGAACCCAACTTAAGACAAGCAGATCTGGCACAAAGTAAGTGCTCAATAAATGTTAGTTTGTAGGAATCATGTTCATCTTGAGATAGGATCTGTGTAAATACTTGATATGCATCATCTCATTTAATCTTCCCCCGAACCCTCTAAGGTAGGAACTGTGATTGTCCCCATTGTCCAGATAAGGAAACCAAGGCTTAGAAAACTTCAGCTCCTTGATCAAGGTTACAGAGAAACCTTACACAGAAACCTACAGAAAGGGGAGAGCTCCATGCTGGACCCATGTGTGTTACCAAAGCCCTTGTTCTCGACCTCTGCACTCCACTTAATCCGCACAACCAGGCTGCCCGCTAATGCCTATTGCTTCCCCCATCTGACAGATGTGCAGATGGAAAGTTCAGGGAAGTTAAGCACCCGTTTCCCACACTAGCACTGCCAGGCTGGGACCAGCACCGGGCATTCTGTCTCCTGGCCTATGCTTCCCAGCGCCCTGGGAAGGGCAGGCATGGGAGAAGTCCCCTTCCTTGTAAACAAGACCCCGAGGTGGAAACTGGCCAGCTGTCCATTAAACTTGCAGTACAGGAGAGAGGTAGGATGCACACGAAAAGAAGGAACAGTCTTAGCAGGTTTACTGGGACTTCCAGACAGAGAGAAGTCTGTTCTCGTGCTTGTACCTCACCTTTCCAGCCTTCTGTTAAATGGGGCTGATGGTCAGGTATGAAGTGCCCTACTCACTGCTGGCTTCAACTTGCATCTTCTCATCCTTACCTCCAGCAGCTCCACCACTTCCACCAAAGTACCGGGAGTTGTATGTGCCTTCAGTCTGAGCTCCATCTGCATACAGCTCCCTGTGATTATTCACTAAACATCTGCTATGTGCTGGGCATCGTGCTAACCTCTTGGTTCTTCAACCACCTCTTCTAATAAAGTGAAATAATCTTAGTATCCTCTTCATGGGAATGTTATGAGGATTACATGAGCCAATTGTGCAAACCACATATCTAACAAAGGACCCATATCTAGCGTATTTAAGGACTCCCAATACTCCGCATTAAAAAACCAAACAATTCAATTAGAAAGTGAGCAAATGACACGAAAAGCCATTTTACCAAAGAGGATATATAGATGGAAAATAAGCACGTGAAAAGGTAGGCAACATCACTAGCTATTAGGGAAATGCAAAATAAGACCATGATGAGATACCACCATACACCTATTAGAAGAGCTAAAATAAAAAAAATAGTGGTAACAACAAATGCTGGTGAAGATGTGAAGAAACTGAATCACTCACACATTGCTGGTGGAAATGTAAAATGGTACAGCTGCTCTGGGAAACCACTGACTCTTTCTCAAAAAACCCAAGAACTGTACTCCTGGGCATTTATCCCTGAGAAATGAAGACTTATGTTCAAATAACACCTATACATGAATGTTTATAGCAGTTTTATTTGTAATAGCCCCAAACGGGAAACAACCCAGATGTCTTTCAATGGTTGAACTATGGTACATCCATACCATGGCATATTACTCAGTGACAACAAAGGAATGAACTATTGATACACACAACAACTTGGCTAGATTATGCTGAGTGAAAAAAAATCCAATCTTACAAAGTCACATACTGTGTCATTCCATTCAGATAACACCATTGAAATGAGAAAATTCTGCAGATGGAGAATCTACTAATGGTTGCCAGAAGTTAAGGATGGTAGAAGGAAGGAGGCTGGTATTTCTATAAAGGGGGAGCATAAGGGAGGTTTTTGTTGAGATAGAATAGATCTGTATCTTTTTTTAAAAGATTTTATTTATTTTACAGAGAGAGAGAGAGAACAAGTAGGGGGAGCAACAGAGGGAGAGGGAGAAGCAGGCTCCCTGCTGAGCAGGAAACCTGATGCGGGGCTTCATACCTGGAACCTGGGGTCATGACCTGAGCCGAAAGCAGACGCTTAACCTGACTGAGCCACCCAGGTGCCCCAATAAATATGTATCTTGATTGTGGTGGTGGTGACATAAATCCACACAAGTGATGAAACCACACATACCTACAAACACATCATCATAACAACGTCAATTTCCTAATTTTGATACTGTGCTACAATTATAAGATGTAAGGAGAAAACTGGGTGAAGGGTATGAGGGATGCCTCTATGTTTTTTTTAAAGATTTTATTTATTTATTGAGAGCGAGAGAGAGAAGGAGAGCATGAGCGGGGGTGGGGAGAAGCAGCAGAGGGAGAAACAGACTCATCGAAGAGCCGGGAGCCAGATGTGGGACTCCATCCCAGGACCCCAAGATCCTGACCCGAGCCAAAGGCAGATGCCCAACTGACTGAGCCACCCATGTACCCTGCAGATCTATGTTTTAAATGAGTGGTAAAGAGTTTCAATCAGTGCCTAAGTAAGTACTTAATCAATATTAGCTCTCATTGTTATTACATAATTTTCCTTATTACTGTATACAAGGCATTTCATTTAATGCTCACAATAAGTTTATGAGGAAGATTGTTTTTACCCCCATTTTGCGACTGGAATACTAAGACTTAGGCACATTAGATAACTTGTCTAAGTTTACATACCCAGAAAGACCTAGAAATTGAAGCCAAAATCCATAGACCTCCCATATACATGTGGGTACAAAGGCCAGTAAGATCAAAATCTCTGCTCTAGTCAAGTTCATAACACAGTGACTGAAGTAAGAGATATAACTCAAACCCAAGCAGAATGTCATATCTGCTGTATAAGTTCTGTGGGGGGACAGGAGCAAGAGGAATAAAAGAATTCCAACTGAAGAGATCTAGGAAGGTTTCCTGGAGGAGGTGGCATTTGGGATTGTTTTGAAAATAAGTAGGAGCTCAGTGGGCATGGAAGGGAGTAGTGGTGCAGGAAAAGGCATGTCACGAAGAAAGAACCTGATTGTTAAGGGGTGGGAGTGTTTGAAGGAGAGCAACAAGCCCAATGCATGTGACCAGAGGCAGATGCAGATTAAGGAAATGCAGAGAGCAGTCAGCGAAGATGGACTTGGAATGACAGGCTAGGGATTGGGCCTGTTCTCCCAGCTTTGGTTCACTGTAACCTCCAAAGTCTGCTGTGGACATTAAGAGGCAATGTCTACAGTACATGCGCAATGAAAACAATGTACACAACAAGGGGCCAGCTTTCTGTTCATGTTGCAACAGTCAGGCAGGGCTGCACAGGGATTCTGGGCTCCCAGGAAGTGAAGAGGTCCTGGAGGTCTATATAAGGACCTCCAGATAAAGTTTTCCAGGGTCCTTCCAAGACCAAGCCCCAGCAGATCCTGAAGGCAACCTCTGCCTCTCGGGTGTCCTAGGGCCCCACAACAGTTACCCTGGGCTTTGGAGTTTTATTTCTTAACAGTAAGTTAGGAACCCTATCACACTTGTACTTATTTATCTTCCTTCTCTGACATTAACTTCTGTGTGCTCAGGATCCAAGACTGTATGGGTCATCGTTGAACCCGGCTTGGAGTCGACCGCATAGAGGTGTCCAGATTCAGTTCCATTCCAACAATCCAGTGTTGATTTATCAGGTACCTGCTAAGCACAGACCCTGTGCTTGGGATTGGAAGTGAAAGAACAAGATGCAGTCCCTTAGCAGAGAAGAGACAACCATGGTGAACACACACCAAGCAGTGGCTGAGCCAACGGTCCAGAGGCAAAGGGACAGGAAACTACCCAAACTGACCAGTGGAGACAGTAACATCTGCGTAACTTATCTTTAAAAATGTGGAGGTGAAGCCTCATTCTCCAGGAGAACGGGCACTGCTGGTTGCGGTGTCCAGAAATTCTTAATGCAGCTAAACTGAAACATAGACCGTGCCTCCATCTCAGTAAATGTATTGCAATGGTGACGATGAGACCTGTAATTTTTTTTTTTGCTAAGGTCATGAGTGAATATTGGAAGTAAATGACCTCCATATTAAAAATGTATTAAGGAATAATACATTTTAGATCACTAGCCAAAATAGCAATGTACTTTCTGCAATCCGACTTCCAGAGCTCTAAGGTGAATCATTAGAAGAAACTAGAGTCCAAAGATGCTAGGTGGGAAACTGATGAAGTATGTCATCACTATGTCCATATTCCAGTGAAAAGAAAAGAAGCTCATGAAGAGAACTGTGACAAGGCTGACTGACAGACAGTGGGGGATGAGGGGGTGTCGACATGAGATCTTTCAAAAAGGCCTATCTTGAAGATAAGTCGACTCAGATTTTGTAGGAACTAGGTGACTTTGATGGGTAGTAGAATGAATCATAACATGTAAAACTACTTAAATAAAAATTTATTGACTAAAAAATTTTTTTATTGACTTAAAAAATTGTGGAGCTGGTATCTGGTTGGCTGTGGGTGTTTGCAGTTAGGATTGTTGCTCGAATGTTCACTTTGCTTTGCCTTTACTGGACTATTCCCGGGGCCTGGCTTAGCTGATGCTTTGGGAAAATGATTTTGAGCTGTACAGATAGCTTTTTTCAGATGTACACTCAAGCTACAGAAGGAAAAATTAGATAAAAGGAGCAGCTGAGAGGGACCTCAAAGATCCCCTGGGACACCTGCTTTCAACCTTGGTTTTCTGGAGCCTCAGGGTTCCAGGTGGGCAGGGAGACAGCTCTGGGAAAGGGGATGCTGATGGCGTGGGCTCAGGGTCTCCTGCCTCCACCAAAAGAGCTCAGTGGAACCTTTCTTGCACATTGACATTCCAAATAAGTTGGAAGAAAGTTTCCATGGTTTAAAGGTTTAAAACCCGCTAACTAGTCCTACACAGCCATCGCCATCTTCATCACCATCATCATCATCTCCACCACCACCACTATCACCACCATCATCACCATCATCACCACCACCATCTTCATCATCATCTCCAACATCACCATCATCACCACCACCACCATCACCATCATGACCACCACCACCTTCATCATCATCACCTTCATCACCATCATCACCATTACCACCACCACCTTCTTCATCATCATCACCATCATCACCACCACCGCCATCATCACCACCATCATCATCATCAACACCACCACCACCATTTCTCACAATAGCTGATTTGGAGTGTTTCGCATGTGCCAGGTGCTATTAAAAGTGCTTTGCATGCATTATCTTGTAATCCTCACAGCAACTCTAAGAGGTAGGTACCATTATTATCCCATTTTACATAGGAGAAGACTTAGACCCATGGGTTATATAATTTGGCCAAAGGACACAGATTATAAGCAATGGAGTCCAGCTTTGAGCCTATGTGACTGGCTTCTGCACCCACATGGTTTTCCACTACTGGGTACTGAGGAAGGTGGAGCCCAGAGAGAGGCAGGGAGTTGTCCCAAATCCCACAGTGTGCTCAGCAGGGACAGAGCCATTCCCCCTCAGAGCTTCTTCCTTCTGACCTGCTCCTTCCTTCTCTCCCTCTTCATCCTCAGTGTGCCTTCTAGAACTAACTCACAAGTGGTTTTAAATAGACCATCTCTTGGTTGCCAGGCATCTGTGTTCCCATTCTGGGAGCCGCTGATGGAGAGGAGCTGCAGTGGCTGGTCTGCTTCAGGCATCCCTGTTCTGAATGGGGCTGGGGCTCTCTCCCTCTTGGTCTACTGGCTTCATTTCTCACTCTCTGCTCTAGATCAAGTGGGCTTTGGGCAAGGCATTCCAGACACTTCACAGGCTGCTCTGTCTGTCCACCCACCTCTGTCTGCTCCTCTACACATACCGTAGCCATTGCAGATAAGTATATACCCTGCCCCTTTGCCAGGGCTGTTCCCTCTGTTGACAACACCCTTCCTGACTTGTTGGCCTGGCGTACTGCTCCTCATCATAACATGTAAACTACTCCTCAGATGTCCCCTCTCTAGGGTCCTGACCTCCTGCCAAGGCAGAAACAATCACAACCTCTCCAACACCCTCCCTGTAACAGCCCCTGTCACCTGGTACTCTGAGCATTGACTGACTCCACTTCCTTGATTCAAAGACAAGCAGGTGGTCCCATTTTTACTTTACTAAAATCAGGATGGTTCTGACAATCTATGCTCCTCACTAATTTGGGAGTATTTCTTGCCTCCTGAAACACTGTTGCTGAATCGATGAAGTATTTTGTAATCAGTGTCATCTTAGGATCCAGGAAACACAGGACTTCTCTTTCTCCCTCCAGACTGAGTTCACCTGGGTTGGGGTGAGCCTTGTGTCTCTGGGCCCCCAGCAGGTAGCACAGGGAGGGACAGAGGAGGGACCACTTGGTGGTGAGTTGTGGTGCTCATGGGCTGGATGGTGCCCTTTGTGTCCAGGTCGCCACGGGTTACCTTCAGGGCTTTAAACTCCAGCCATTTGCCCACTGCCCATCACGTTCATGCAACTGCCTTAGCAAGAGCAGCAGACTTCGGCAAACGTTCTAGGCCAGGAAGCCTTGCTGCGCCCGGCGGAGAAGACCTGAAGTCCATGGCACTGTGGTGATAAGGAAACTGAGGCACAGACAGTTTAAGTGACTTGCCCAAGGTCACACAGCTTTTTTTCTTATAAGGCTAATTATTACAAGGCACATGTCAGTGAATCAGCAAGATCTAGATCCAGACAGTACTACAGACATGGAAGATGTTACAAATGCTGAAGAAGAACTTATTAAAGAATGTGAAGAAATGTGGAAAGATATGGAAGAATGTCAGAAAAAATTATCACTTGTTGGAACTGAGACACTCACTGATTCAAATGCTCAGCTGTCATTATTAATTATGCAAGCGAAATGTTTGACTGCTGAACTCAATCAATGGCAGAAAGAAAGTCCTGGAATAACTCCACTGAATGAAGAAGTTCTTGTAACATTAGGCAAAGAAGAGTTCCAAAAATTGAGACATGATCTTGAATTGGTGCTCTCTACTATTCAGTCAAAGAATGAAAAGCTAAAGGAAGACTTGGAAAGGGAGCAACCGTGGTTGGATGAACAACAACAGATACTGCAATCTCTTAATGTACTACACAATGAATTGAAACATCAGGTTGTGACATTTTCTGAATCAAGAATCTTTGATGAGCTGAAAACTAAAATGCATGATATAAAAGAATATAAGGAGAAACTCTTGATTACCTTGGGTGAATTTCTGGAAGATCATTTTCCTCTGCCTGATAGAAATGTGAAAAAGAAAAAGAAAAACATTCAAGAATCAACTGCACAGCTGATAACACTGCATGAAATGTTAGAGATTCTTTTAAATAGATTATTTGATGTTCCACATGATCCATATGTCAAAATTAGTGATTCTTTTTGGCCACCTTATATTGAGCTGCTCCTTCGTAATGGAATTGCCTTGAGACATCCAGAAGATCCAACCCGAATACGATTAGAAGCCTTCCATCAGTAAAAGGATGGTCTCTTTTTTTCACACAGTACTTAATGAATCTTGTCATTCAAGGATAATAGAAACACTGAGGATTTACTTGGATAAAGAACGTTATTTGCAAATCAAAGTACATAGTCCCTCTTCCTTTTATCCATAAAATGACCTGTGCCATCTCCTATTCATTTATAAATGGTTCTTTCAATTCATTCAGTGCTTTGGTGTGTTCAACTGGATGGAAAAGAATGCAAGTAAAAATATTCTAGACTTAATCATTATAAAAGTTTTGATATACCTTCTGCAGTATTCTTTGGAAAATTCTTTGTTAATTTATAATATTGCTTATGTAATTTTTTCCTTTTGAAATTTATGACAGTTTATTTTATGCATTTTGAGTTCCATTTGGTGCTTATGTCTTTAAATTTAGGAATTATAATGGAAAGGCCATTTAATTTGCAGGTGGTTTTTAAATTGACAGTATCTGATGTAGATGGAATACATAATTTAAAAGTAGTAAATCTGTTCCATGTATACTGCCTTATTTCTAGATTTGTTAAAAATTGGAACAGAAACTAATGGATAAGGGTAGCATGAAAACTATATTTTAGTATGTATTATATACCAAGTGATATTATATATTAAACCATTCTTGATTGTTAGTTATTGTTAACAAAATTGTGTTGATAAAATTTTGTTAATTCTCCATGACCTTTCTGTCAATAAAATTCTCTTATCTAAAAAAAAAAAAAAAAAAAAAAAAAAAAAAAAGAGCAGCAGACTTCATTTCCCCCCTGTGTTAGTTTGCTACGGCTGCCATAACAAAGTACCACAGACTTGGTGGCTTGAGCAACAGAAGCTTATTTTCTCCCAATTCTGGAGGCTAGAAATCTAAGACCAAGGTGTAAGAGTTAGTTTCTTCTGAGGTGTCCTTCCATGGCTTATAGATGGCCATCTACTCCCTGTGTCTTCACATGGTCTCACCACTGTCCATGTATCTGTGTCCTAATCTCCTCTTCTTATAAGGACACCAGTCATATTAGACTAGACTCCACTCCAATGACCTCATTTTAACTTAATCACCTCTTCAAAGACCCTATCTTGGAATACAGTCACGTTCTAAGGTACTGGATGGTAGGACTTCAACATATGAATTTTGGGGGGATACAATTTGGGCCATAACACCCCCCTAAGGTTGAACAAGCTCAGTAGGAAGCATGCCAGTTGCAAAGTCTAAACTGTACTTCACCCTGTGCTCTGCCTCCACTTCCCTCTCTTAGAAGTAGCGACAACAGACCAGCCCCTCGCCCTCGGCTTCCCCGAATTTCCAAGAGAATTTTTCAGCATACCTTCTTCTGATCTCTGTTATCATCTATTTAATTCCTGGCTCCTCATCCAGGCCTTCCAACAGAAATCTCCAAAGGCAGCTGCCCGCCACATCTCTCTGAACTTCACCCCTATATATAAATTATGGGTATCTTAGAGTTGATAGGATTTTTCAAAAACAGCTTACCATTGTCCTACGCCTTGCCTATGGTACACATCACTAGTCAAACACAGTACATTTTCCTGCAGAATCTAATGCCAGGCAGCCAGCGCCAAATGCGTTAGCCTGTGAGTTGGGTCACACTTGCAGTTATGGACCTCGATGTCCTTGAAGGGACCTTCTAATCAGAAATCCTGTGGATCCTTGGGTACAACATCCATACACTAGATTGTTTGGGAGAGTTCCAAATTTATACGATTTTTACTCTCTTCAATAAAAGCAACTTTTAAAGTATTGATTAAGTAACAATGAGTGTCTGGATTCTTTTTTGGGGAAACATTTGGCCAACCCTTGGACTCTGGGCCCAACAGGTACAATTTCAATGTGGCTAGGTGACCAGGAATCTGATCTTTCTGTTAGATGGCCCAAGCCAGGGAACAAAGGAATAGAACTGGTAGGATAATCATCCACTCACTTATTCCCTTTTTTTTTTTAAAGATTTTATTTATTTATTTGACAGAGAGAGACACAATGAGAGAGGGAACACAAGCAGGGGGAGTGGGAGAGGGAGAAGCAGGCCTCCTGCTGAGCAGGGAGCCCAATGCAGGGCTCAATCCCAGGACCCTGGGACCATGACCTGAGCTGAAGGCAGACACCTAATGACTGAGCCACCCAGGCGCCCCTACTCACTTATTCCTTTCACAGACATTTACTGAGTACCTATTATATGCTTGGCACTGCTCTAAGGGATGAGGATTCACAGACAAAGGTAGCTATAGTCCTCATTGTTGACCAGGTGCTAGACCCAATAGCATTCTATCTGTATTTAATCTTTTATGGCCTCAATTTTGGTACATTTCCCTTTCTATGG